AACATATCATTAAGGTATTTCCAATTTGTGAAATTATAAAAAAACATATGAACAAATTAGTTTCTTTACAATAACAAATAATAAGATATTTATTCATTGCACAATTAATTATTATCACAAAAGTGAAATGTAGTATCAAAATATTGAAATAATACTGATAGTAAACAAATAAAAAAACAAATGACAAATTAAAAAATGCTATTAACAATAAATATTTATACATATAACTGTAATAATATATAAAAATTTATATAGTTGTATAAATTTGTACAGTATAACAAATGTACTTTTAAATATTATCTATTTCACTTGGTTCCAAATATAAAAAAAAAACTATTCTTTTATATAAAAATATATCATTCACATATTTTACAAAGCGCAAATCATTTCTGCAACAAAATTTATAATTGCACTGTTTACATCTCTAAATATTGTTTGTCTTTACACTTTTACAATTTCTAGTATTATGAATGAATGCCATATGATCAATGATCTTAATACATTTGTTTTTTAATATAGCATTACTATTATGCTATAATACCAACTTTAAAAGTTCATAAGAAGCAGCTAAATGAAGGAAAAATGTTTTTACTTTTCCAACAATAATATAACTCCAGCACATAATTGAAAGTACCCCTTCACAGTATTTAAACAATAAGACATCTAAAATACATAAAACACAAAATATTAAAAATCAATTGTCAAATGTCGAGAGATAATGAAGAAAAATCACAGTATTTGTCAGGGTGTCAACGTTGATACATTTAACAATTTTAAAAGCACTAAGCTCCGTTTATTTTGAAATTTTTTCATCGTGGATTCAACGCTATATCTTTCAAAGAAACTGTCACAATAATATCAGGAAGAAATTCTAACGGTTTCCACAGAAGCACGATATAAGGAATAACACTGTAAATGTTTCGTAGCCGATGTTACCCACGAGGGGAGCGATGGGTATGCGAGTGTAACACTGTGTATCTCGATTTCCTCATCCAACGGCGTGGTAGCAGGATACAGTTCATGTACTTTTTCGTGAATTCCAATGGCATGCAGTGTGCGTACACGTACCGCACCAGAGCACGCATATATACGAAGAAAGCACGTTAACCAAGCCGCGCATATACACCCATAGAAAATACACACGGGCGCGCGTATGCATACATATATCAATGACGTGCGTTCGCGCGTGCACACGCCTATGCACGCACAACGTGCAAAGCGTGGAAAGAAGACATCTAAACCCGTGAAACTGCACGCACACACACAATGAAACACTAAGCAGAGATGTAGTTCCCGCACCTGGACAGTATCGTCGATAAGGCGCGAGCCGCGTGTGCCGACACGCGGAACAACGTGCACTTATTCAAAAATTGCAAGTTACTCGCGCGATCTCTATCTGACGCCCAAATATCTCACTTTCGAGACACTTAGCTAATCAAACTTTTCACTTCAGACAACAGGATCTAAGATCGACAGATTGCATGGTGCGCGAGGCAGACGCGTTGCATTGTACCGGCACGCATGCACGCACGTACCATGCACAATTCAGGCAGCGCACACAACACCAACACCCCGACAAGACGTACGACACGGACATGGGTGCCTCTTTCTTTCGCGTAAATCGATGGGCACACTCGATTTCACTGGCTTTCCCCGGTGAGCTTTTTATCGCGAAACATGCCACTGACGGTTGCTATAGTTTTGGCATAGTCACAGGATTACCACGGGATACGCACCTTCCGCACAGGGCCCTTGCCAGGGGCTGGCGAATTTACGATTTTCGGTCAAAAAATCGTCGGGGCATCAACCAAAGCAGAATTTCAACAATGGTGGCCGCTAGCGAGCGAGCCGCATGCAATGCTGACACCTCGCGGTGGCGGCGCGAATTACGTTTCTATCCTATTCCCTCTTTCATTAGCCCTTCTCATTCACTCATTCGCAATCATACGTTCTCCCTTGTACATGTATAATTTTTTTTACGAATTCTTACTACTACTTTGCCATATAATAATCAAAATATTTAATTATTTGATCTCTTTTTAGAAAATTATTACTATATTTATTAAAATTTTCTTAAATATGTAGTGATATAAGTTGTTTAACGAGTTTGATCGTATAAGATACATATCCGTATTTCGAATTTGTTTGCTATATTAAATGTTATAAAAAATATTACGTCATTGATATTGACATTAAATGAGATTCAAATTGATTGAGATTCAAATAAATTCTTAAAACGAAATTCACAAAAGAAACATTTAAAATCCATTACAGATTATTCGCGATCGTTTGTGAAACTTGATTTAAAATATAATTAGTACTTCAAGTACTACTTTTGTGCTTAAATTCATTTACAACTATATGTGCTGTAGATATAATCAATATCATGACTGATGTTAATATTGTCAAATATGATTGAAAACTTAAAGCTACCCTTAACACCGCCCACATTCGTGATCTATATCTATGAAATTTTCTTTCATTAGAATTCTGCCCATATATTCGGTTCGTCATGTAAAAGCGCGTGTGTAAATTTTAGTGACTATACTTTATAGTTTAGTGTAACTTAAAAAAGATACATAGTATTTAGTCTAAAATTATTGTTAAAAACAGAGATTTTTAATTATATAAAATAACATGTTATTTATTATTTTTCTATTTGTTAATTAATAAGTTTTTTTTTAATTTCGTATGTATATCTAGAAAATATTTTTTCGTTGTTTCTCATTCTCTTTTTTTCTTTGCCATTTTTAGTTTCTAATATTTATGAAGTTTAAAATTTATATACAATTGTATGTATATATATATTTGGGCATGTGTATGCGCGCACGCGATGCGCACATATATATATCCTTATAGATATTATTTTGTATATATTTCAAGTTTCAAATAAAAAGAATACATGTAAATAATTTAACAGAAATAAAATGAAATAAATAATTTTGATAAAAGTTTGAAGTTATTTAATAAATTTATTTTACTACTTATAATATAGATTTTAATAAATATTGTGATATCAACAATTATACAATTAAATACGTCATTAATACTTACCATGCCGTGGCATTTCTTTTATTACTATGTTTGCTATTTGTTAAGATGGTTCGACGATATCCAATATCTAGTTCTATAGTAAATTCACTATAATCAAATCTTAATGGTCGACGAATCTATATTACATCGCTTTTATCAATGAGTAACATCGAACGAATGTTTAGAAAACCGCGGCAATATACTTGATATGCAATTTATTCCCTACATGTGTATAGTATTGCTTCTGCGTCTTTCTGGAATCTTCTTTAATAAATACATGAATTTATACAATTAATAATTTAATATAACTGCTATGATTGAAATATAGTATATATTTTACACTATTATTCATTAATCACGCACGATTGTTTGTTTACAATTAATTACATGTTGTTTACATAATTGACTTGTAAAATATAAAATTATAAAGATCGAACAGACAGCTGTTTTTTTTTTATTTGTAATGAAACAATTATTTTAAATGAATATATGTATCTTCTATCATATTTCAATGGTTTATTCGCATTTCTTTCAACGTACACTTATTGTCATGTAAACAAACGTTATAGTGACGCAACCCGCCAAACGACACTAACCAGTGAAGTATATCTGTATACTTATATGCAACATTTAGTACATGAAGTATATTGCGTCACAGATGGCTCCTGCCAACAGTAAGGCGCCAATGAACGTCGTCTGCTCGTTTTGACAATTATGCTTTCAGTTAGGTAAGAAATATAACTTTTTTAAATATTGGTAAAAAATTTTGTCAAGTATTAATAATTTCTTTCGTCATTATATCAATTATATTAAATATTAGTTTAAAAGATATGAAATTTTACATAAAATATTGCAATGTGATAATATTGTCGTCTGCTTGATTGACAGCTGCGCAAGTTCAGAAATCAGCGCCGAAGCGGTGAAGGATACGGTATTTGGATTTGTGACAATTTCAGCCAAAATAGGAACAAATTATTGCTAAAATGATAATTATAACAAAATTCATACGGAGTTTTTGAAAATACAACATATATGTTACATTTTTTGTTTTACTTTTCACTTAAAAATGGAGGCAGAAGTTAGAGTTAATCATCGTTTTTCAAGTATTTTCAATCACAATGCAGTTTGTTATGGATTTTAGCGTGAATGACGTGTCAATGCATAGTCAATGTGAGATTCAAAGTCAAAGTGAATTTCGTAATAATATAAGAAAAGTGTATACAAGTTGAGTCCAATTAACCTCTGATTTTTAATGAGCACAATGTTTTTTTTATAAAATTTGATTTGTAGCACAATAATATTGAAAAATGTACAACTATAGTTCCTTTAAATAATTATGAAAGAATATGTATGTGCAAAGAAAATGAATTTTATGCCACAGGAAAAAAATTAAGAAGTGGAAACTGAACTGTTATCCTAAATATTATATTTACAAATATGTATTATTTACATTTACTCTAATTATTCTATAAATTATTCAATATGAAAGTGTTAAATTTATTAATATTTGAAGTGCAATTATTTATTGACATAATATTAAATATATTTCTTTAAATATGAGAAATATACTGATGATAACGTATTAATATGATGAAGTATTATAGATGTTAACAAGATAAATATCTTGTTTTATAATTCTAGTCTATATTATATATAGTAAAATACATATTATTAATATAATTGCACATTGTTCATACAAAGGCTATATTCTATTCAAAGTATGTATACTGCTAATGAGCATAAATATTAAAGGAATTCTTTTAAGTCACATTAAAAGAAAATTAATTATAATTATACAAAAAAATTATAAATGCCTGTGTTTTGACTCATTTATTAGTGACATTTATAACAGATTGACTTTATCAAACTTTTCTAAATAATATATTTCACATAAGCAGTATTAAAATACTTTATTCATTAATAGTGAATTAATTATATGGTACTCAAAATATAAAACTGCAAATATCATGGAACAGTGTGAAGAAACTGATATACCTAGCACAACAAATGCTAAAGCAAATATTTCTCCTAAATCAAAGCAAAAAAAGAAATCTCTTTGCTGTATGCTTATGAATAAAAAGACCAAGATTGGATGTCTAGAAACATCTTACAAAGATGGTAATTCAAATAAAAATTCTAAAATGGAAAATTCACAACATGGATCTCACACTAGTACAAAACTTTCATTATGCTGTGCAATGACTGAACGCAGTAGAACACCGCCACAGAGTTTGACTGTTAGTAGATTATCTTCAACTACATTAAGCCATGCATCTGTCAAATCTGATGTAGCATCTGCAAATGGAAATTGTCAAACAGATGTAATGGTAGAAAAAGAAGAAAAAGAAGAAATGTACATAGCAAATAGTACACATAATGTTCAAGAAAATATAGAAAAGAATAGTGTTTTTACAGGAAAAGAGCGACAAAGTACATTTATTGAAGGTAAGAATTATCATATATCTTATTAAGAATTTCAGGTTTTCTTAATTACATTTCATTATTTCATTAAATTTGAGTGAAATAGCAGTACAAATTGATAGATTATTTGGAGTTGCGTAAATGATTCATTGTTCAATCAATTAATTAATGATTGTTTAATTATTTTTTCTAAATCATTCTATTACTCATTTAACATGCATTATAATGTTCCCTTTTTTACCAATTCTATAATCTAATTGTAAGTGAATGAGGTAGTGACCTTGCTCATCCCCACTTTTTCTACACTAAGTCTGCAAAGATTACTTTTATTCTGCTTGTGAAAGGAAGTGTGAATTTTGCTGACAGTCGGTTAACACCTAATCTTCGACATAAAAACACATATCAAGCATTCTTTTAAAAATTATATTATAAATATGTCTAATCTAAATATTAAACCAAAGAAAATTTCTTTTCTCAATAAATTATTTAAACCATTTAAAAAAAAAAGTGGCAAACTAGAAAAGGAAACAAAAGAAAATTTGAAATTTGGAGAAGCTTCTGAAAAATATACTCAAAATTTAAGTACTGAATCCCATGATATTAGTTGTGGAAAAGGAGCTGTGTCTAAATTGCAATATGATAAAAACTTATGTGATAACCAACACTTCAAAAATGTTGTTGTTAAATTAAGTAACAATGCATTAAATATCAGTCAAAGTTCTAAACAAAATGATAATTCTAATAATTTGTATACAAATATATCAAACATTCAAAGACATAGGAAAGTATCTAGTGCAACAAATATTAATATAGAAAAGGATAAAAAAGAAATTAAGTGTGGTTCAGATAGGAATTTAGATAAGAAAATTGCATATTTAAGAGACGATTATAGCATTAAAAATGTACATTTGTTAAATAAAAGTGATTTATCAAAACATTCTGAATCGTTACCAAAAATTGCAAATTTTGCATCTTATTCTGACACTACTTCTTTAAAATTATCAAATTTTGTACCAAATTCTGACATTATAAATTGCTTACAAAAAACACATCAATTTTTATTAAAAGAAACAAATGTGATATCACAAGAGAATAGTGAAGATAGTGATTTCTCTGCAGAGTCAACAGAAGATTCATTTGAGGAATCATCAGAAGATGAAAATGAACTTCTAATTGATTATGAAAAAAATGATAAAAGCTTAAAGGATGAGTATTTTACAAAAGGAAAATATATCACTTATTTCTTCTTGGAAATGGAACGGCAGTTCTACAATCCTTTTGAAGTTTACAGTATGGTTCAATACCATGAATCTAAGAATACTGAAAAACCAGGAAAAGAAGGTACAATAAAATAAATGAAATATACCTGCTGCTTAAAATCTGATTCTTATGCTTCTTCAAATATTTTTATTTTATTATTATGTAAATGTTACATTATTTCTTCTATTTGGCCACTTATAGAGTGTCAATATCTAAATTATAGAATTATTAATAATGTAAGTATTGATTGAAGATATCAATGTTATATAGAAGATCTGAATAATCCATATTAAGAAGTTTTGATAATAATTATTTGAAATTTATTTAAT